CTGGGAGCCCATCATGTGGAGGCTGCAGCCCTGGGCTCACTAGCCTGTCTCCCAGGTTACTACAGTTTTTGTTGTGTAAGTGAGGTGGGTGAGGTTAGAGATGCGACCATTTCGCTGAAGTCATATTTCTTTTTTGTAGCAACAGGTTCACGGAGGCCTCCTCCGCTCCTTCCAAAGCTTACTCCCCCCCCCCTTCCCTCTCCCCCCCCCCCCCCCCCGCGCCCCGCTCCAAGCTGGACTTCCCAGCCGGCTCAAGCCTTCCTCCCACTCGGATGTGTGACCCCCGCGCGCAGCCTTTAGCCGGGGCCTGATTCATCCTCTGGGTGGAACACACATAAAGTCCATCTCCTCGCCCCTGGAGGTCCACCCGCGATTTGAGGCGAACAAACTCTGTACAAGGGGAGCGGGGACCCAGGGGTCTGGGCGCGCTCGCAGGTGTTGCCAGGGCTCTGGGCCCGCGGCCCCGCCAGAAACGCACCTGAGCCCCCAACCCCACAAGCCCCTTATTGGGGTGGGGGTGCCGTAGAAAGAGCGGGACAGAGAGAGAAGACGCCCAGAAGCTCTCTGTTGTCAAGGCTGGACCTCCCGATCTCTTTTGGGGGCTCCGGCTCTGTCGTCTGGAAGCACATTTCAGCTCCAAAGGACATCTCTCCCTCCGGGATTAGCTCCTTGCCGCCGGAGCGACAGCCAGGGGTTCCTGGAATGGTTCCCAGTCTTTCCCCCAGCCTTGGCATAGTGGGGGAGGGCCCGCTCATTTTTGGGGGGGTGAGGTGGGGGGTGGGTGCTGGCAATCTCCGCGTCGTGACTGCTCCCGCCCCACTTCGCGGGAGGCGCCCCGGTTGACTGGCGCGCACGCCACACCCCCGGCCTGGCCCCGCCCCCGGAGGCCTGGCCCCGCCCCGGGCCGCGCGCTCCCGCCCGGGAGGGAGGCGTGTGCTGCTTCTGCAGCCAGCGCCAGAGAGGGAGAGGGATGGATGTTGGAGGAGGAATCCGGGCTTAACAAGTGATTGCTGCTATCTAGGATTTTGTTCTTTTTTCTGGAGGAGCCTTGACTTCCTTTCCCAGGCAAGCCCTCCCGTGGGGAACTCCAGTGGAGCCAGAAGTCTTGGGGGGGTCTTCCCCGGGGCAGCCCAGGATCGCACACCTGGGCGCCTGCAGCGAGGACTCCGTGCTCCCCCCCTGGCCAGGCAGCAGAACTTGTTCCGTGGATATTCTGGAGCCTCCACCTGCTACACAGGCGTGTTTCCTTCCACCCTCAGGAGCCTTTTTCCTCCCTCCTCCAGCTGTTGTTGCAGCTTGAGGGGGGACATCAAAACCAGCCGAGGGGAATTGTCTTTCTTTTTATTTTGGACCCCTCCTGGGAATGGTAAGTGTGATGCTTCTCTTTTCTTTCTTCCCTTTTCCACCCCTGGCTGGGAAGAAGCGGTGGGCATTGGAGGGACAAATAACATCGGGAATGTGACAGAAGGGCATGAATGGAAGGCGGTTAAAAATAAACCAGGAGGTGGGAGAAGGGAGGTGCAGATGCTGCGCGGCGCTGGGGTGGGGGGGGGTGGGGGTGGGCAGCAGTTGTTATGTTCTCCATCTCAGGGATGGGGTGCGTGCGCCCTGCTTCATGTGCCTAAGCGGGAACCTGGTCTGGAGGTGAGGGCGCGATTAAAGATGTCGTTTCCCCGACGAGGTGGTGTTTAGGTTTAGCATCGTTTGGCCTCATCCCAGACTCACCGATTCCGTTCCTGTGGGAACAGCTGGTGGAAAGGGTTTGAATTGCTGCCTCTCCCAACACTTGGATTTGCGAGCATTTGAGCAACACATAGGGACTGTACAAATGGCGTGCGTTGAAGTGTATATTTCTCACGGTTGTTAGCCTTTCTGATGCTCTCAATCTCTCTTCTCTCTCACTCTCTCTCTTCTCTTTGGTAAGGTTCAGGTACCACCCTAAGACAGTTGTGGAAATTAGACATGAAAACAGCCTTGCTGTCGGGAGGTGGAAGGAGGAGAGGCAGGATGCGGGGCTGTTGTTTGGGGGACCAGGGAATTGATAGTCTGCAAAACCTATTAATTTGATGGTGTTAAAGAGGAAGGGAAATTTTCCTGCCAAGTGTCCCTCATAAAGGCTCCTGGGAGTTGGCTTGGATAGATTCTCCTAACATGAATACCTTGGGAAGCAGGAGAGATTTTAAGCCAGTCTGATTTGTTGGGTGGGAGGATTTTTTTTCTTTCTTTTTCTCCCCCCTCCCCCCTTTTCTCCTCCTCCTCCTCTCCTTTTTCCTCTTTCTTCTTTTTCTTTCTCTCTCTCTTCTTTAAGATTAGGGATAGTGAAGTAGCTGGTAGCCAGTCAAAAGAAGGATGATTTGCTTTTTGTAGGCTGGGGGAATTGGATAAACCAAACCTAGCAAACCTAAACTAAAAACTAAGAACTATTTGGTGGACAGCAAAAGCAGAGAAGGTGTAGGTCTCTCGCAGAGTTAATTGTGAATGAAAAGACCCTCTAATTAACGACCTTCTGGAAGTCAGTGGGGTGGGAGAGGGGGATATATAGTATACAAATTTACAGGCACTTTGGTTCTACTTTATTTTAATAGTGTATTTTAACTGCTTTGAGGGAGTTGGGAAGTAACTGAGCAAACTCTCCAGCTATTTGGCCTGTGGAAGAATTTAAAGGATGTCAGCCTAACCCTCCACATTGAAAACAGAATTAGAGGCCTCCCGAGGGTAAACATTTCAGAGTATGAGATGATGTTAGGAGTCAGGCAAAGGAAGAAGAACATCATGTGAGGCACCTTCACAGGTATATTTTCTGAATTTCGTGTCCCAATCAAGCTTGCCTCTTACCCTAGGAGAAAGTATTCTGATTGGGAGGGGACATATTTTTGCCACTTCCCTGATTGTCACTTCATAAAACTCAGTGTGTTTAAGCTACTAGGCTGACAGGATTCAGCAAGAAGCAAGCAGCAGGTGGTCAAGAGCCAAATCCCTTCATTGGCTCCAGAAAACCATTTCTTTCTTGTACCCCAAGTGCTTCCAGTAATAGAAGCTAGTAGATGCCCTGAATTCTAACTGTCCTTATCCTCCCCAATTCTTTGGGCCACTATTCTGCATTCTTAGAAGTCCTGTTGGATAGAATGAAAGAATGGAAGAAGCAAGACTAGACAGAAGATTGGGACAGGAGCTTTTATAGGTTCTGGTGGAGAAGATGAGTTAGATGGACCTTGGGAAAGATAAACTAAGGGAGAAGGAAGGCCAGGAGTACCAAGAGATAGTGGGGACAGAGCAGGCTGCAAGGAAGATGTGATCTGGAAGTGGTGGATTGGAAAGAAAGGTGGGCAGAGAGACGTAGAGAGAGAAGAGGGGAAAGTTGGGGAATGGGAGCTATGGATTAAATAAAAGGGGAGTGTGATAGGCTGAAAACAAAGTCCATACAAAGTGGGATTTAAAACATAAAGAGCTAAACCCTTGAAAAGAGTGTAGGAGGAGATAATGAGATGAACATGGAGGAACTGCAAGGAGAGAAAATGATTATTAGAGAAGTGGAAACTGGGATTAGCTCCTAGGCTGTGGGTGGCAGGGACATGCTTCAGGGAGTCAGGAAGAACCAATTTGATACAGGCCATTGGTGAGTCTCCAAATGCCCTGATGTCCTTGCATTCTATCCTTCCCCTGCTTCAGACTGTGGTATGAGGACATACACATACTTACAAAAGTGGGATGGGGAGGTTGCATTATCCTCAGTTTATAGACGAGGTGATTGAAGCTTGTTCAAGTGCCGGGCCCTGGATTTAAAAAACTGTTTTTCTGACTTCTCTAATCCTGAATCAAGGGAGGTGGGTGGGGGGAGGACACTATATTCAGAAATATTTCACAAGTGGAAGTTTTTTTAAATGCCTACAATCAATGCATGATGGAAATTGCTATAAAGCAACAGCATTCTTGTTGTGGAAGAGAGAGACAAGAAAATAGACTGAGCTGAAATCCAATGAAGAAGGAAAGAAGGATGTTTAGTGAGAAGGATATTTAACCACCTGGCCCGTGTTCCTTGGAAATTTATGGTTGCTTGGTGCTTTATATGGTTTGCTGGAGAACAAGAGACAGAAGTGTATGTGAAGGAAATGCTCAGTTTGCTTTTTATGATTTGATTCTTCTTTTTATTTCTCTTCCATGCTTGTTTTCCTTCCTTTTTTTTCAGGTGAAGTGCTTCTTCTGCATGATTTTAGCTGACGGATACTCTGCATTTTCTTGATCTCTATGGAGACCTCAGAGCTGGGTTTGCCCCTGCTGACACCTCATCTTGCACCACCTTCTCTACCTCCCAGGATCTTTGCCCCTGCCGATAGTTTGGCATTGCCCCTGGGTCCAGGAAGCCTGTGATGAACTTAAGGGGAGAGTCCGGAGGCTCATCCCAGTAGGTGTGAGAGACAATGGCTGGACGTACTTCAAGTCTAGTGTTAATAATAAGCAGTCACGGGAAGGCAAGTGCTAAGACGAAAGGCTTATCTGCATTGTGATGGACTGAGCTTTGGACAGTTTCCATGGCAGAAAAATATATGCCATCTTCTAGGCACAACTGCTGGCTGTCGGAGACTTGCTGCCTTTGAATTTTGCAGCAGCACCATCATCCTATCCTTATATGTATCCCCAAATTTGAACACCCACCCCAAAACAGGTGTCTGGGAGACGCGGACATTCTGGGACTTAGGCTTGAGTGTGCCAGGCTGTTCACCTGGACCCGGCCAAGCTCCGAAGAGCCATGTCGAATCCCTGGGGAAGACAGAGCATGGGCCGTGCTGATTTAAAAACAGAAAATGCAAAGTTGGATTGAAACTATCCTCCGTCTTCCAAGCAATCTGCTTAAGGGTTCCAAACTTACCTTCCTTTGGTGAGAAAAAAAAAAAAAAAAGAAAGAAAAGAAAAGAAAAGAAAGAAAAAAAGCTGCCCTATATATATATTTTTTTCTTTCTTTCTTCTACAACCAGAACCAGCCATTTCCCCAAACCGCCACCATGGAGGTTGCGATGGTGAGCGCGGAGAGCTCAGGGTGCAACAGTCACATGCCTTATGGGTACGCGGCCCAGGCCCGGGCCCGGGAGCGGGAACGGCTGGCCCACTCCAGGGCAGCGGCAGCCGCCGCGGTGGCCGCGGCCACGGCCGCCGTGGAAGGCAGCGGGGGTTCCGGAGGGGGCTCCCACCACCACCACCACCAACACCACCAACACCACCACCAGTCCCGGGGGGCCTGCAGCACCTCCCACGACCCCCCGAGCGGCCCACGCAGTCGCAGGAGGCGGCGCCCGCAGCCGGAGAAGAGGAAGGGCCACCACCGGCCCAGCAGCTTCCCGCACTGCGCCGACCTCATGCCCAGCGGCTCGGAGGAGAAGATCCTGCGGGAGCTGAGCGAGGAGGAGGAGGAGGACGAGGAGGAAGAGGAGGAGGAGGAGGAAGAGGAGGAAGAGGAGGGGAGGTTTTATTACAGCGACGGTGACCACGGGGACGAAGGCTCCTACACGGACCTGCTGCCCCAGGAGGACGGGGGCGGCGGCGGGGGGTACAGCGCCGTGCGCTACAGCGACTGCTGCGAGCGGGTGGTCATCAACGTGTCCGGCCTGCGCTTCGAGACCCAGATGAAGACGCTGGCCCAGTTCCCCGAGACCCTGCTGGGGGACCCCGAGAAGAGGACCCAGTACTTCGACCCCCTGCGCAACGAGTACTTCTTCGACAGGAACCGGCCGAGCTTCGACGCCATCCTGTACTATTACCAATCCGGGGGCCGGCTCAAGAGGCCCGTCAACGTGCCCTTCGACATCTTCACCGAGGAGGTCAAGTTCTACCAGCTCGGCGAGGAGGCCCTGCTCAAGTTCCGGGAGGACGAGGGCTTCGTGAGGGAGGAGGAGGACCGCGCCCTGCCGGAGAACGAGTTCAAAAAGCAGATCTGGCTCCTCTTCGAGTACCCCGAGAGCTCCAGCCCGGCCAGGGGCATCGCCATCGTCTCCGTCCTGGTCATCCTGATCTCCATCGTCATCTTCTGCCTGGAGACCCTGCCCGAGTTCCGGGACGACAGGGACCTCCTCCTGGCGCTGAGCGCGGGCGTGCACGGCGCGGGGCTGGGGAACGACACCTCGTCCCCCCACCCCGAGGGCTCGGGGCACACGGTGTTCAACGACCCCTTCTTCATCGTGGAGACGGTCTGCATCGTCTGGTTCTCTTTTGAGTTTGTGGTCCGCTGCTTCGCCTGCCCCAGTCAGGCGCTCTTCTTCAAGAACATCATGAACATCATTGACATCGTGTCCATCTTGCCTTACTTCATCACCCTGGGCACGGACCTGGCCCAGCAGCAGGGCGGCGGGGGCAACGGGCAGCAGCAGCAGGCCATGTCCTTTGCCATCCTCAGGATCATCCGCCTGGTCCGCGTGTTCCGGATCTTCAAGCTCTCCAGACACTCCAAGGGTCTGCAGATCCTGGGCCACACGCTCCGGGCCAGCATGCGGGAGCTGGGCCTTCTCATCTTCTTCCTCTTCATCGGGGTCATCCTGTTTTCCAGCGCCGTGTACTTTGCCGAGGCCGACGAGCCCACCACCCACTTCCAGAGCATCCCAGATGCGTTCTGGTGGGCTGTGGTGACCATGACGACCGTGGGCTATGGGGACATGAAGCCCATCACCGTGGGGGGCAAGATCGTGGGGTCCCTGTGTGCCATCGCGGGTGTCTTAACCATTGCTTTACCAGTGCCAGTGATTGTCTCTAACTTTAACTATTTCTACCACAGAGAGACCGAAAACGAGGAACAGACGCAGCTGACGCAGAATGCAGTCAGCTGCCCGTACATCCCTTCCAATCTGCTGAAGAAATTTCGGAGCTCTACTTCTTCCTCTCTGGGAGACAAGTCAGAGTATCTAGAGATGGAAGAAGGGGTTAAGGAATCTCTCTGTGCCAAGGAGAAGTGTCAGGGAAAGGGGGAGGACAGTGAGACAGATAAAAACAACTGCTCTAATGTGAAGGCTGTGGAGACTGATGTGTGAATCCTGTTCTCCGCGCGCCATTGCCCCCTCGCCCCCAAGCCCGGCATCTCCAAATATATTTATGCATAGAGAGTGCAGTTATGAAAATGAAATATGCAAACGAATCCAACGCATACAGTAGTACACCATTCAATGGTTATACATGGCATAATTGTTATAAGCTTGTATTACATATCAAATAAATGATGCATCTTGGAGAAGAGGGAGGCTTAAATAGGAGCAACTGAATCTTTATATTTTTTATTAGGATGCAAGAATTTTGCACATTAACTGGAAAGGATGTTAAAAGTTAAAGATGGCTTTGTGGAATGAGTGTGTGCGTTTGTGTGTGCGTGCTGTGTGCGTGTGTGTATGTATAAGTAAATTGTCAACGTTTTTTAGTAATTGTGCAGTAATGGGAAAAGTTGGCATTTTGAAGTATTTACTATGTAAGAACTAATGAATTTGAACAGTCATTTATCAGTGCTTTAATAGCATCTCCTGTCTTTGGATTCCCTGGTTGTTGTTTTTTAAATTGTTAAGAATTACTATGTAGAAAAAAAAAGAAAGTGAATTATTTAATAGCATATAGGTCACAATTCTATCTTGGATTTAATTAAAGTTTATTTTTAACTGGAAATTAACTTTTCAAAAGGCTGCAGGGGTCTTTAGAAATTGTTTATATTTTATTATTAATTTTGGGATGATATGAGAGCAAATGCCTAATAATATGGGAGAAATGACATCAGAGAAAATGTAACAAGCTTTGTTTAGAAATCCCAGCACTGGAATTTTTTTTTTCTTTGCACTACTTTATATGCTGGAGATTGAGAGAGACTTCATACTGTGAATGTTTACTAATGTAACAGTTCAATGACAATCATTGGAACAATAATTTCTTTGTCCTATTTTATTGTTCTTTTCTTTGTGTGAGACTAAATGCCACGCAGATAACAGCACAGATTCCCTTCTCTTTTTAAATCTAAATAACTGATCTGCAAAGGGCCTATGACGTCGAATTTAGCAACTGAATTCTTTTGAAATCGGTCTGTTACAATGATGTTTCTGAAACCATCCTATTCTTCTGCCTTTAAATCCAGAACAATTTAACCAAAGCTAATGCATGCACTGAAAGAATTAATGAAGAAATAGATGCCCAGATGCTACAGTGATTATGGCTTAAGAGCTTTCTATTAAATGTATAACATAAGTGACAGATTTATTAAATTTATTTCTTTGTGCTGCTGTATATGAGCAAAATGTGGGGATTCACCTCAGAATTTGGCACTCGATTTGCTAAAATTGATAACAGAAAAAATTGTGTCAAAATATGTGCTTTCAACATCACCATCATGATTAAAGGAAATCATGACACATATGAGTGTTTAACTCACCACAAGGTGTTCTAGAATGTGAGCTAACGGCTAGTGATTGGACTTGCACTATTAAGTTATAATGAGATATTGGTTAGCAAACTCAGAATATGTAATAGGCCTTACATATTCTGAAAAAAAAAAGACCCAGAATAACTTTCCTCAAGCTTTTTAACCACGGACCATCATATGATAATAATATGAAATTTACCTCTCTTTTAATGTTATTTAAAATTCAAAGTAAATCCAGTGTTAGGTTTAAAAGCAAAGCTGCTTCTTTCTCCCCATTTCTTCCCCACCACTTATAGAGAAACTTCACTTGAGAACACCGTGGAGAATGAAAAGCAGCAAGCAGAGGAGTTGATTGAATGTGTAGACCAAATATCTCTAGTGGGCAATAGAGAGTGACAAAACAAGGAAATGCCATCTTGAAACAAGACTTCAAAGATGGCATTATCCTCTATTTTGGATTAGAAGCAAAAGTATGTAACAAGCATGACAGTAGCCCTGTAAAGCTACTCAGGTTGGCTGCTATTTATTTGGAAAAGTCACCCTGTTAATCTCTGCACCATTAAAGAGGGCACATGATGCCTATGCTACATCAGTTGTTAGGGGAAAGCAAATGAAAACATGTGAAAACTCTGAAATAAGTTCCATATAAATGTCCAATTTTATGTTTAAATTACTTTTAATCTTCCTCTAGGAGATTAAGAGCCCGAGAGTTAAATCTGCCTTATTAGGATGCTGTGAAAATCATGGGTAATTTCTTTAATTCGGGGCTCCTTACAAGGAGTTGATTTGCAGACACACAAGAGAGCCTATCATTAAGTAACTGTTGCAGTTTCTTCTTTTGGGGGAAGATTTCATGGTGTAAAGATGACCCCATGGACAAGGTGCCACCTCTCTCTTGCTGTTCTCAACTAGGTCTGGTTATATCTTAAAATAGTTTAAATGCGTGCTCTCTAGCTTTGATGTTTCTTGAACATTCTACAATAGCATTAGCAATGACGTGGCTATGTTTGGAAGGAAAAATACATTGTATTTCATTTGTTCTACAACACTTTTAAATCAGAAAAGTTATATTACACTTAATTGATGGTAGAATGAATAATTCTGAGAACCCAGTCATTTGGGGAACCTGGGGCTTCCTTTTATTGTACATAGTTTCTTTTTAAGGGTAAAAGAGTCAGAAAGTGATAGTCATGGGCTTTTATTGGTAACCACTAAATGTATGGTTTTTTCCCCACTGCAAGATCCATTCATTTTAGGATGTCTGGATCTTGATTCCATTCTGAGAAGGAAGCATTTAAGTCCTTAAGACTTGTATAGGAAGTGCAGAATACTTGTCTTTCAGAGAATGTGTGAAGGTAGTTATGGACTTATAGCATTTTTCCAAGTCAAAGCTAGGTAAACTAATTAGCACCGTTTGTGACAATTTTATACTGAGAAGTGCTCTTTCAGGGGCTATTTATAACTAATTTAGGCATCTTCATCTTCTCAGGGGCCCCCTTATAACATGTTTGGTTATAAGATAAAAGAGAAGTGACCCATTTAGAGATTTGAATTTTTGGGATCTGGGATCCTTTAGTTGCTTTTCAGATGATAATACATGTTACCAAAAGTATCATATTTGAGGGTCATCTTAATCAGAATCTTTTCAAGGGTGGATGCATTGTTCTCTCTTGCAATTAATTGCTTGAAGAGGAAACAATTATGCATAGCAGTTATGGAGAGGAGAGGAGGACTAAATATTCCTTCCTGTGAAAGGGAGGGAGCTCATGGGTGCCAGAGGAATGACAGGTGGTTAGGAGTCCAGAGCTGGCTTGTTGACCATGGACACATTATTTCATCTCCTTCATTCTCAGTTTGTGTTTGGTTAGCGTAAAGTCAGATTGTTGGGCTGCATTATCACTTGAGTCCTTCTAGCACAAAATTCTGTGGAGTCAAAGGAAGTATCAGACTAGCTTGATATTTTCTACGTGCCCCTCAAGTCACACCAGCCTTGATTTTATAGTTAAGAACAAAATAGTTTCAAAGCCTTACTGTTGGGTTAAATGCAGCACCAGGAGTATGGGATTGAGTTTTTAGAATGTAAACTAAGCTGAAAGAATAGGGTGTACTTTGAAGCTATTTATTCTAACCACTTCTAAACGGAAGAAAATCACTTAATAAAAAAAAAATAACTCTTCACTCTCCAACTGAACACAAATTGGTAAGTAAACATTTTGATTTCTGGCTTTGTCATAGTGCAATCTCGTCAGTAAACACAGTGTTCCGACCTGTGCTGGAAAACTCATTTTATGCTCAGACACATGTAGTATTTCAGAGTGCTGCTGCTTTCCTTGTCAAATTTGTTTTGAACAGGACCGCTAAAGCTTTGTGATACATCTTTTCATGAGGCAGGTGTTGAAATAGAATCCAATATATGAAGAAGAAATAGTTAAGATATATGTATATATTTATATTTTTTTCAATTTTTTAAAGAAAGTCAACACCAACCAAAATAAATTTTTAATTGCATTGGAATCATAAACACTAGTACCCCCACATCCCAAGAGAATCAGAAATAGTGTTCTCCATTGTTGATTTTCAGGCCTGTGATGCATCTTCAGCACTAACATTGCAGCAATTTCTAGGAAAAATAGGAAATAAAACACTTAGGTTTGGTTTATATTTTTCAAATGAATATGTGATACGCTCATGTGCAGGGTGCAGAGGATAACATCCCTGTTTATATGTTTGTTTATTCTTTATTGATACAGTTTAGCATGATTACGGGTTGTCATTCAGTGACAAAGGGGCCTGTTCCAGGAAGCCTTCCTGACCCAAAAGTCATTCTGATTACTGCAATGGACATTTGGTGTGGACAAAAGGTACCTCTTGGTTTTCCTGCCTGCAAAGAAACTTGACTTAAAGCACAGGGTCTTCCATGTAACCATGATAGGTTAGAAGATAATTCCACTTTTTGGTATGGAGACCAGTATTCCTGTTTGCAAGAAGGTTGAATGAAGGGTTTGTGTTCAAGATTGAATGAAGCAGAGCTATTTTTGCAGTAAATGGGAATATGTACTTCTGAAATATAAATTAAGACTAGGGCTGTGCTAGGAGTTTTATTTCGGACTCGGTTTTTCGTTTCCATAGCAGTCCCAATTTCTTACAATATCCTTTTTAATAAGAAAGTATGTTAATACATATCAGACCAGATGGCCCAATTTGAGGTTCAGAAAATATGGTTACTTTATTTATAGGTAAATAAATTAATTCCAAGGCATGAGCCGGGGTGCTTTGAAGACCATAGAATAATATATTTATTGAGCTGTAACTCTAAGTGAGACTCTAACACCCTCTTTTAGACTGGTGGGTAATAATAAATGGGAATGGAATAGGAATAAAGCAAATAATGTCCCAAGGAAGGTATCTTGCTATTGTCTAGGAAAGGGTATTCCCACATTTACTGAGCATGGTATCGGTAACATACAGTTAAATTTTTTTTTTTTTTTTTACCCATTTGCTATTGCTGGTAACTTGGAAGAAGGCTTTGTATCCAGAGTACCAGGAGTGAAATGGTCTTGGTAGTTAATTCACAGTCAACTAAAATTATTTGCTGCATAGATGTTCCACAACTGGTTTCTCATCCTAGGTTGTCTT